GTTTCTGTATTACCTTTAGCAAAACTTTACTCGCTTGAGATATCAAAGAGATTGTCCGATGATTTCCGCATTCCGTTGGGTCACCTCATCTCTCTCATGTGGAGGGCCTGGAGGATTTGAGCTGCTGACCGCGAGGTTCGCAACCAGTTTTTTTGTTTTTTTGTTTGTTTGTTTGTTTTTTTAACCACTACACTACCAGGACTTCCTTGAAGATGGCGGATCGGGTGGATGTGTAGTGAGGAGCTCGGTCAACAACAACTTGTGGATCTAGAGAGTACTAATTATTTACATAATTGATAAGTGTTAGATAAATTATTATAAATTATCCAAGTATTATTTCATCAACTCTCCTTTTAAAAAAGGCCATTAGATAAATCCTTCTTTTAAGAGATCAAATATTTTCCCCTTTCAATGAGTCAAAACTATATTTTATGCATAAATAAGAATATCCAATTTTCTATAGAATATTATAATTCACTAAGGTCATTAACCTACTAAGGTATCTCACTTAACTCTTAGAAAAACCCTGTGAAACAGCCAGGATAAATACTATGAGCCCCATTTTACAAATGATGAAGTCTGAGACAATGATTTGTTCAAGGTCAAAAACAATGACAGAACCAGAACTTAGGCTATTTGTCCATGAGTGTAGTGTGTCTTTCTCTGCATAATGTTCATGTGCAAAAACAAAATTTCACACTGCTTGACAGAATACCTAAACAAATACCCAAAATGAATATGAAGAAATAATTACCTGCTTAACAAGCTGAAGGGAATATTAATTAGAAGAGCAATATCCTCACCAGAGATGAAGTCACTTATTTTTAGACTACTACAAAACAGTACACTTCCAAGGTTACTTACCTACTTCCTCAAACCAGAAACAATTGGGGTGGGGAGGAGAGGGGAAGGAAAGGATGTCTAACTCTTACCTGCAAGAGATTGGTGAGCAAGATGAGCGTTTGCTTTCTGATGAATGGATCTGAGTCCTTCAGACACATGGAGATATTGGGGATATATCTATCCACCATAACAGTATACCGGATGCAGAGATCACACATGACAATGATGACATTGTTGCGGACAGCCACGTCATTACACACCTCGAGCTCACGCACCAGAGTTGGGATGCTCCTCTTTGCCAGCTCGTCATGCTGTAAGCACAACTTACCTGTCACAAGGAAAGGAAAATATCTCATTCACTTTATCCTACACTGATGTCTAAATGTTCTCCAGACATACCTTGCTATGGATTTTATTTAATCTAACTTAAAACGTCACGTACAAAAATGTCAAATAACAAAATCATCAAAACTCTAGTTATTTGGAAGTTGAAAATACCATAGTGAAAAAGAAACTCCCACAGGGATGTTGCTCAACGCTAGTTAATTACTTCCCTTTTAAAGTCAACATTTCAATTCTATAGGTATCTGCTTACCTGGAAAGTGACCAACAAAACCTAACAGTGCTGCTATGGCTCTGTTCTGTCAAGTTGGTTGGTTCTGACTCACAGAAACCCAGGATTTCCAAGGCTGTAAATCTTCACGGGCACAAAAAGGCTCATCTTTCTCCCTTGAGCGGCTGATGGATTCCAACTGCTGAGCTTGCAGTTATAAGTCCAACGTGTAAGCCACTATGCCACCAGAGATCCCTGAGGATGCTATTACTTTTGATTATACATACACGCTATAGAAACGGAATGTCTCTTAAGGAATTTGAACTTTTGAGTGAGCTAAGTAAGATTATTTATATTGTTTATTTTACTTTTTTTTTTTATAATCAGGAGGAGAGCTGCTGAGTTCTATTTGTTTGAAAAAATAGCCATAATTAGCAAAAACTTCATTAACTGTTATCAAGCATAAAATACACAATTATACTAAACAAAAAAATGTAAATATACTATAGAGGCCTGTGTTTTCAAGATTAACAGTGAGTTCATGGAGACATAGTCTTAATAGCTCATCTATCAATCCTGCAACATATCAAATAAACTATCTCCTTTAATAAACTGAATTTCCAATTTAATTTTCCATTCTCAGAACTTCATACAATGCCTGCCATATAGATGAATAGCTTGATGAATAGATTTCATGGTACCACATAATGAGAACAAAAAACTAAGAGCAGCTATTATTTAGCAAATTAACCTAATCCCACTAAACACAGAAAGTCACTCCCTATGGTGTTCCATATCTGAGAGTCAAGGGTTGCTAGCAGGCCGTTAAGCCTGCAGAGCTGAGTTTTCATATTGGAACCAAAGCCACTGCCATCGAGTGATTTCCAACTCATAGAGCCTTTATATGAGATTTCTGAGACTGTGCATCTTTATGTGAGCATACATCCTCATCTTTTTCCTGAGAAGCAGCTGGTGGGTTTGAACCACCGACCTTTATGTTAGCAGTCTGAGGTTTAAACCACAGAGCCACAAGGCTTCTTTCTCACAAGAGCTAGAGGAAAAGGAAATCCAGCATTTTACAACATATTACTATGGATAGGCTTATTTAGACAAAAGCTATAGATGGAAACAGCCTACACAAACCACATTCTTGCCCAAGTTTTCCTTACCTAAGGTAATGATTGCATGTGCTCTAATCACGGAAGGCATCTTAGAGCCTCTGAACTGGGAAAGTGGCTGCAAGATGGGGCCATCATTTTCACCTTCAGATGATGCTACTAAACAGAAAGGAAAAAAGTACACTTACAGTACACTCAAGGGATAGCATAGCCATAGGACAGCAAGGGGAAGAGTATACTTTCAAGTGACTTACAGTGATCCACATCAGCAGAAGCAGCTAGAATGGACTGAATCAGAAGGAATATTCGCTTTTCCACTTTGGCTGGACACAATTGGGCTATATCTCCTAAGGTAAAAATGCATTTCACCTATAAAAAGAATTAGTTTTTGCAGTAATATAAGGCAAAACGAATAACTCTAACGTTAAAGATTAAGGATATGTTAATAGAATATTTTTTTCTGTCCCCTCAAGGGAAGGATCTTTACTAATTCTATTCCCACTATGCCACCAAAACTCCTTGAGGATGCTATTACTTTGTAAAACTTTGTTGCTGTTGATAGGTGCATTCCACTTGGTTTCAACTCATAGCAACCCTGTGCACAACAGAACAAAACACTGCCTGTTCCTACGTCACTCTCCTAATTGTTGCCTGAGCCTACTGTTGCTACCACTGTGCCAAGGGTCTTCTTCTTTAGTGAGTACATGGTTGTTGTTGTTGTTGTTAGGTGCCATCGAGTTGGTAAGGACTCATAGCAACCTTACCACTGTTGCCATACGTGGGCTTCCCCTTTCATTTGTCATCTGTCTCAGACATTTTATCTTGTTTCTGGACATGTGCTGATATGGTCATCTGCTTTTGCTTCTTGGACATGTTTAGTGTTTATCTGTGGCCTTAACACTTAATTGAGTATGTGTTTTGGTATTTTTTATGCTGATTGCTTCCAGGTAGATGTGATCAGGAT